GGCTGTCTTTCCATTCTTGGGATACCTCACTTAGCAGAATGCGTTCCAGCTCTATCCAGGAGTATACAAGAGGTGCTATATCACCATTGTTTCTTAAAGCTGAATAGTTGCATGCAAGTATTTTTTGATGTTTTATTGAGATGCTACAAGGCAGAGAAAAGTACATGCCACGCGGACACAGATCACTAGGTTTTCACAAAGAGAACACACCGTGCGACTAGCACCTTGGCGCAGACAAAGGTCACTTCCAGCCCCAAAGCCCCTGGGGTCCCGCCCAGTCCCCTCTTCCCTAGGAGGGACCTTGATCTCAGCTTCTCTCAGCCTGGATCGGGTCCTATGCCTTTTACTTAGAGAGTAGACATACTCAGCGCTGTGCCGTCATCTGTTCCTTTTCTCACTCATCGTGTGTCCTGTTCTGTGGCTTCCGTGACTGTGCAGGACTCCCTGATGGCCCCCCTCCGGTTGCCCCTACATGACACTGCAGTGAACGCCCCTGTGCATGTTCCCACGTGACCCCCAGGCGGGGCTCCTGGAGGGGAACCGCACGGTGGCCGGACCTACCTGGCCCGCATTTGACCTTGTACGGGCTCAGATCTCTAGCTTCGTCACCGGAGGGTAACATCGTGGTTTGGGGTTGAACAGACTCAGGTTCGAGCCTGGGCTTGGCCACTCCCTCAACATGTGACCTTGAGCTGGTCACTCCACCTCCTGCAGCCTCCATTTTCTTGAATGCTGGGGACCCTCCTTTGTCCTGCCTGAGGGATGGCTGTGCTGACGTCACCACGCACAGTGCTTAGCACGTGGGGAGCTCCCAGCCCCAGGCCCGTTGCTTAGCACTGCGAACAGAACCGTGACAACCGAGATGTGATAACAAGCAAAGCTCTAGACTGTCACGTGCTTTTGATCTTCCCAGCAATCCTGGAGATGAGTGAGTCTCCGTTTTACAGATGAGGAAACAAAAGCTCAGAGAGGTAAAGTGTCTTACTTGAGGTCACACAGTGGGGACATGGCAGAGCTAGACCTCAAACCTAACCCATTTGGTGCCAAAGCCAGGACTCGGACTTGGTTCTCTCGACATCCCCATCCCCAGACTACAGTTTCTGTCCTCTCCCATCCACCCATCTTGTGAGCGGACTTTTGACCCTGGTTTGACCTCTGAGCTGTAGACTCCAGGTATCTTGACGCTGAGGCTGTCCCAGTTGACTCCCAAGACTTTTGACCCCAAGTCAAAAGGATCCCTGTCCCCTGCTTCCTGCTTCCACCTTCCCTGGGTCACACGTGCTGAGTCCTGCCCCCGTCCCTGCCCTCCAGGTGGTGGTGAATGGAAATCCCTTCTATGAGTTCGGGCACCGGATGCCCCTGCACACGGTCACCCACCTGCAAGTGGATGGGGACCTGCAGCTTCAGTCAATCAACTTCATCGGGGGCCAGCCCGCCCCACACCAGGTGTGTGGTCTCCCCTCCCTTACTTCTTCCTTCGTTCTTAATTCAGTCTCACGTTCCAGTAATTCCCAAGTACCTGCTCTGTGCCGATCCCTCTGCTAAGTGACGCCAGGGGCTCAGGGGTGACCAGGACAGCCCGCTGGGAAGACAGACCTGTCACTAGACAGTGATGGCTGCGAGTGGTCAGGACCAGGACGGGGGGCACGTGCAGAGAGGTCAGGCGGGACGGGGCATATACAGGAGATTTGGGGAAGTCTAAAGGAAGGGCTTGACCTAGTCGTGGGGTCAGGGAGGGCTTCCTGGAGGAGAACAAGGTGTGTAAACTGAGTCAGGAAGTGAAGACAAGGAGTAAAGAATATATGAAGAGTGAACAAAGAGGTAGCTTAACATCACTAGTCACCCAGGAAGGACAATGTCTAGCCCCAGTGAGCTGCCACTGCACGCCCAGCGGCAGAGCTGTGCTGAGACAGAACACACCACCAGTCGTTGGTGAGCACACGGAACACGCGAGCCTCCCACCCGCGGCTGTTGGAAATTGGTGCAATCACCTTGGAAAATGGCTGGGCAGCGTCTGTGAAAGCTGAACAAGCCATGAGCTCAGTGGCCTGAAAACTCCACTCCCAGGAATACTCTGGATAAATGGCCACCAACACACACCTACGGGAATGTCCATAGCCGCACTATGTATAAAAGCCTCGAACAGACTCCAAACCACCAACATGCTGTTCAACAGGACAGGGCGTAAATACACGTGTTCATCATCCAGCGGTGAGAACGGACGATTTACAGCGACACACGACCACGGGGCTGGGTCTCAGAATCAGATATGGAGTCGAAAAAGCAAGTTTGCAGCCATAAAAGAAGAAAAGCCCAATCCCAACGCCTTCCATTTCCCCAGCGAGGACGGGAACGCACCCTGCTCTTATCATCATCAGCCCCATTTCACAGATTTGAGAACTGAGGCACAGAGAGCTTAAGTAACTTGCCCAAGGACACGGAGCTGGTGGGCAGGTGGGGTGTGTGCCGTGACCGCTCCCTGCCACCCGGGCAGGCCTTCGTCCAGGAGGCAGGGGGCCCGTGGGAGTTCGTTTACTGTCACACTCGATCGATACATTTTAGAAAGGAAACCAACAGTCAAGCTATTTTTAAAGGGCCTTCAGGATAGCTGGCTGAAAGCAGAAGTCAAGGCAGAAAGGAATTAATTAGAAAGAGGAGAAAACACAGAGACAGTAAAAGTTCATGAGGGAGGGCAGAGGTGTTCCAGGCAGAGGCGGGGCAGAGAGGGACAGAGACACGCACAGAGACTGAGAGAGCCTGCGTGAGCGAGATCGGGAGAGACGGGTGCTCAGCGGGGGCTCGTGGAGTGAGGGGCGAACGAGCTCGGGGCTGAGGCGCGCAGGGGTACACTGACGCCCTGGGACAGCAGGAAGACACCACGGGGGCCGGTACAGAGGACAGAATGGACCAGGGCTGTCCCAGGGGGCTCTGGCGATCCCTAAACATGGCAGGTCCCTCTGAGTGCCGCCCTTTGATGTCAGAGTTTCCCTGCACGGTGGTGGCACTCTTGACACCTGCCAGTCCCGAATTTGGGGTCCCACTCATCACCTCTTCTCTCTCTGGGCCCACAGGGACCCAGGCATCACCCGCCTTTCCCTGTAAGTACCTGCTGGTGGGTGGTGGTTCTTCCCTGAGCTGCGGTCCCTCGGCCCCTCTCACCCTTCCTGCCTTCTGTCCCTGGTGCAGGGCCCCGGACACGGCCATCAGCCGCTGAAAAGCCTGCCTGTGAGTAGGAGGGCTGGGGGGCCACCCGGTGCTGGAGGGGAGTGGCGAGAACTGGGGCAGAAAGAGGTGGGAGGGATCGGAGCCCCAGTCGGGCTAACCCGGCACCTGTCAACTACTGTGGAATAATGTCGCTTTCTCTTCACTTCGCAGTCCATGGAGGGACCCCCAACCTTCAACCCGGTACAGTGTCACACGGGGATCGGGGCCCTGTGGTGGGCAGCTTGAGGGGAGGCAGGGACCTGTGGGGAGGGGTCCTGAGCCTGGGGCACCTGAGAATGTCAGTGACAGAGTGGGCTGAGGGCGTTTGGAGTGTCCGTGGGGACAGGGCGGAGTGGGTGGCCGGGGCTGGGGAGGGGTGGGGCCTTCTTTGAACATCTGTTCCTGCATCTGGCTTCTGCTAACCTGAGAGAGGACGGGACCCGTCGTTCTCTTCCTACAGCCTGTGCCGTTTTCGGGGAGGCTGCGAGGGGGCCTCACAGCCGGAAGAACGGTCATCATCAAGGGCTGCGTGCCCCCCACAGGCAAGAGGTGCAGACGCCGGGCTGGGGTGCGATCCCCTGGCCACGCCCTCCCTGGGATTCCCGCCTGATTCCCACCTCCCTCTCTGTCCCCAGCTTCGCCATCAACTTCAAGGCGGGACCCTCAGGGGACATAGCTCTGCACATCAATCCCCGCATGTCCGAGGGCAGCGTGGTTCGGAACAGCTTTATGAAGGGCTCGTGGGGCCCCGAGGAGAGGAACATCTCCTACAACCCATTTGGCCCTGGGCAGTTCTTCGACGTGAGTACGGGCTCTTTCCCCGCCTCCCTGCAGAGCCCGGGCCTGGCCCTGGCCTGAAGCCGCCCTCTCCCTGCAGCTGTCCATTCGCTGCGGCCAGGATCGCTTCAAGGTCTACGCCAACGGCCAGCACCTCTTTGACTTCTCCCATCGACTCCCGGCCTTCCAGTGCGTGGACGTGGTGGAAATCCAGGGTGATGTCGTCTTGTCCTACGTCCAGATCTGATCTATTCCCAGGGCCATAACTCCTGGGAAACGGAAGGATTCCCTAGGAGTCCCTTCTAAGCCCCTAATAAAATGCCTAAGGTTGTCTCACGAGCGTGCGTGTCTCCACTCACCCTCTCCCTGCTTATTCCCTGGTTCAATCACGTGCTGTCCCTTCATCCCTCCAGTCATCTGTCCTTCCATCCACTCATGAGCACAGATCTAGTTACGCCCCACGCACTGACTGAGGGCTCATTCACCCCTCACAACAACCCTAGGAGGTAGGAACTATCATTATCATCCCTTTGCAACAGATGAGGAAACAGGCAAAGAAAAATAAAGAAAATTGCCCAAAGTCACACAGCCCTTAAATGTCAGAACCAGGATCGAAATTCAGTCGGTCTAGCTCCCAAGGCTGCAGATACAACCGATATATGGCTGGGCTTCCCATCCGTTCATGTCTCCATGTTTCCTCTCATCCATGTCAATGTCCATCAGTCCCGCCATACATCCGAACAGCCAAGTCCATCCAGCCATCCATCAGTCAAACATCCAAACATCTAGAGCATCCTTACATCCAACCCTTTATCTATCTACCCCTCCATTTATCTCTCTACCCATCCATCTC